TTGCCTGCTGACCACTGCCTCAGAAAGCCACACCTCACAGTTAGGTGTGAGAGCTAAAGAACAACACCTCTGCCACCCAGGAAAGAAAAGCTTAAACATGCTCTGGTAGTCACCGGTTCTCATAAAACACTAACCAGTAGTTAGCAAATAGTGTATGAAATCTCCTATGGGCTGATCACCTAGTTTTCATTAGCTCCAAACTGATTTTTTGGAGTTGCTGGGTGTACCTGTAGTACCCATCTTATTAAACAAGCTTCCTCTCGGCCCACAGTAACTTAAACTCAAATCATCTTTATTCTGTTCTGTTAATCGTGCGTTTTCACCAGGTGCGAACACGCATTAAAAACAGATGTTATGACCACTTAAGGTAAGCAATGTCATGCCAGGAAACCAAAAAACAACTGAAAAATTTGATTGTTTACAAAATTGCAGCCATAGGACTTATTTAGCAAAAACATTTCTATCGGCTTACGTAATACCATGTATATGCAACATTAAATAACCATTGCAACATGTAGTAAAATATAATTAGCAAAAATATTTCTCTGGCCACTAAAGTATCACATATATGCAGCGGTAAATTTTCATTGTGGCAAGTGATCCAATCTAAGTTTTCCTCAAATTTTAACCAAATTCATATCATAGCTATTTAATCATAAACTGTATAATTTTCTTTTTATCTTTTTATTTTACTAAATGCTAGGGAGAAACATATAAAAATAGTTTAAAGTTACCTCTATTTTCCTAATTGACATTTCAGCAATATCACAGTTTTCTGAAATGTTCGCAGTTAATTTTGTTCTATTCGCTCTAGTCGTAAACACACAAACACACACTCACCTGCTTAAATTTGCACCTCCCTTATTTTAACTATATTTTGGAAAATAACATAAACACTCTTACTTTTCAAAGGCCAACTGTAAATTATTTGTGTGAAATAGTTGTGATCGAGGGAATTCAAACATTTTTAAGGTAATAAATGTTACTCTCATTATTAAATACTTTCAGAATGCGAAGGCATACCTAAATGGGGCTGGAAGGAAAATGTTTTAAGCAAAATCGTGTAATGAGATCATTGTAACCACCATATTTGAAATCTAGACCATGAGTTTTAGTATTTCTTTTCAATTTGTATGAGGCTACAATAATTGTGCACTATGAAATAAGGTCACTATGTTGTTTAAAGTCTACTAAGCTTGCAACCTTGTTTCATGTGGTTAGTTTTTCAGCCACAGAACTTCAGCCCGTGCAACATCTTTGCAAAATGATCTTGGCTGAACCATGATCTGACATAATGTTTCAAAATTAAGAAAGGTATGTTACAATTACATACTCACCCTTTGGTGTCTTGAAATGCTCCGGCAAAACTAAAATGAGTGTGATCACAGTGGCCACAAGTAATTTAAGCAGGGCGGTTTTTGTCATGTCCACTCACATGTCACAGACGTGTTCCCAGCCAGCGCATCGGTATGTATGTCTCTTCCGGCTGTAAGTTTCATCTCTGTGGTTCTTTATGTTAATGCAATTCACCTCGTACTCACTTCCTTTCGGGTAAGACTTTTTTTTAGAAGAGGCCTCTAGCTGAGACTTTTTCATTTTGAGTCACTTTCCATTAAGAAAGCTACCGTCTGCTAGAAACTTTCCAATGCATATCTCTAAACGAGCAAGATAAACACATTATCTCAAAAAGCAACAGAGTCTTGTCTTTGTCTAAATTGGAAGCAATTTCCCCATGTTTACCAATGCGTGAGAGTGAATATAAACCCACCATGGACTCAACAAAAACAAAATGATGAATGCTAGTCCTATGCAGCCGAGTTGTATATCATTCACACACTTGGTTGTTCGTTTGTTTGTTTGATGGCGTATCCTACATCGCAATCCTCCTGCCTCAGCTTGAGTAGTTGGGACTACAGATGTGCCATCATGTTTGGCTTGTAGGGTGAACGGGGAATCAAACCAAAGCCTCAGTCTGCCCAGATGCAGCATCTACTGCATTACCACACCTGGGCCATACTTATTTATGTATTTAATTCCACTTGTTATTATTGTATTTTAATTTGACCAGAGAGAGACAGAGAGAGAAAAGGAAAAGCAAGAAAGCAAGCCACCAGGTCTGGGACTCGAACCAGAGTCAGCCATTTGGAAACCCAGCACCTTTAACCACCATGCCACCTGCCAGCCCCAACATATCAATTTTTTAAAGGAGAGAATCTGATTTCCAGAAGCCCTATCAAGGAAAGCAAGAACAACATACTAAAAACAAACCAACAAACCTACCCTTAAAAAAGACAGTTTAAGGCCAGCAGGTTGGTATGGTGGTTAAGGTGCTGAACTCCCACACAGCAGACAGCAGTTCAAGTCCCAGACCTGGCAGCTTGCTTTCCCACTCTCTCTCTCTGTTAGCACACAGGCCCGATATCAAAATTAAAGAATAATAAATAACAATAAATAAATAGAATGATTCATTCTTTTTAAAAAAGGACAGTTTACATTTAACTGCTATGTAGTTATTTATTATTATATGAAAGATACACTTTGTATGAGCCATTTATTTTCCTGGTCTTTTCTCCTCTGTTCTGTGGAGAGATCTCTGAGAGGCAACAACAGCAGAGACAGTCAATGATGTGCATCGAACATGTACTGCATGCTCCTGTACTGTGTCCAATGTGGTGAACGGACTCTGCTATTCAGTCCCCCAGCAGTGTGCGGTGTAGAGAAGTCAAGGACCATTTTCAAAACCGTGTAGTTAATGAAGGCCAAGGCTAGATTTCAAGCCCAGAGAGGCCGAAGGCAACCTCGATGCTCCGAACCCAGAACCGCGTTACACTTCCACCTTTGGGCTGTGCGAGAACATTTGTTAAGAAGGTGCCCTGAGGGCCAGCCCTATAAGCTAGTGGTTAAGGGAGCCAGATCTCACGTGGCCAATTGTGCAGTTCAGTTGTTCAGCAGCTTGAAAACCACTCTGGGTGGGACCAGCAGATGGTGTAATGGCTATGTCTCTGGACTCCCATGTAGTCAACCACGGTTCGAGTCCCGGACCCGGTGGCTTAAACTCATGCAGGGCGCATGTGCGTGCGTGCCCAAGATCCCGAGAGGAGAATGGAGGAGAAGAGATTGCGGCGTGACCATGCCCCATGGGGGGTAATTTCTCGCTTTCTAGCTCTCTGTCTCTCTCTGTCTTTCTGACAAGCACAAGCACCCTATAGCAAAAATAATAATAATAATAATAATTAAAAACTCTCAAAAAAAAAAAGAAAAGCAAAGAAAAGCACTCTGGGCAGAAGAGCACGCATGCCCAACTCCAGAGAGGACGGAGGTAGGGAAGGGAAGCACTCATGATGGGAGTCTGCTCCCTTCGAGGCACTTCCTCCTCCTCTCTGACTCTCTTCCTGTCTCTATGTCTCACTCTGGCAAGCACACACACTCCCTGACTTTTCTTTCTCTTTTTAAGAAGAGAGAAAGAACAAGGCTCATTTCTTAAATAACAGCGAACAGAAATGTAGCCCAGCCCTGCACTAGCCCAGGGTCTCTCTCCATGGCACTTCTGACATTGGACGGCTTCTTTCTCTGTTGTGGAGGCCCGTCCTGCACACTGTGGGATGTTCACAGCAGATGCTGGTAGGTACCCTCCCCACCCCAGATTTTTTTTTTTTCTTTATTCATGATAGAGCAATTGTCCATGGACGAGAGAGAGAAGAGCCCCCTCCACAGGGTCTGGCCACACTGCGACCCCCTTCTTCCAGTCTTCAGTCGTCAGATTCCGGGTGTGTGTGTGCATACCTGGTGTGTTGCAGGCTGACGGGGCTGGGGAGTCGAACCTCGGTTGCCACATGGGACCAGCTTCTCCTGAGCAGCACACTACCACTGCCCCCCAGAGCTGGCCCTGCCACCCCAGTTTTAACCCCCCCAAAAATGTCTCCAGACTCACCAGATGTCCCTGGGGAGACAAAATGACTCCCTGTAGAGACCCTCTGCAGTAAACACCTCACGTAAATGCGGCCTACCCCGTCACCACCCAAGGGGACAGTCCCCATGGTTATTTCCCTTGTACTCACTTCAGCCTAGTCCAAGCCAGGTCGTGGAATCCTCCGGAAAGTGAATTGAGAAGACAATTCATAATCTGGATCAACTGAGTTACTCGGAAGTGCGTTCCTTGCAGATAATCCTCGACCCTGGCCACCCAGCAATACTTAGGGTAACACATTCGGGTGGGGAGATCATCTCTTTTTAATGAGCTCTGCCTGAGTACGGAGGTGCTCAGGGAATTCCAATCTCCCGCATTCATTTTGCAGTTCATTCAACGAATATTTGCAGAACATTTCCGCAGCGTCAGGAAGCGTCCTGAGCCCTGGGGACGCTGTAGCGAAGAAATGAAGGCCTGGCCCACCTGCTCCGTCTAGTGGGAGCGCACATGCAAGTAAGAGACGTAGTTGGACACATAATGAAACAATGTATTTTCACGTCAAGGGTTCTGAAAGGGCTCCCTAAGTGTGAGGGTGAGATGCCCTGGCAGGGAGCTGGGCAGGGCACGTGTCGGTTAAATAAAGATTGTTAATGAAGGCGTCGTATGAAACATTTATGTGACACTCAGGAAAAGGCAACACTACAGGGACAGAAAATAGATCAGTCATTGCCAGAGGCTGGAGGGAGATGACACGGGCCACGAGGGAATTTTTAGGATGAGGGAGATGTTCTATTGTGTATCTTGATTATGGTGGTGATGATTCCACTGTGTGTTAGTCCAAATTATACACCCATACCTAAGGGACGGGGGTTGCCATATGTAAATTATAACACAATAAGCATAATTCTCTCTCTCTCCACTCACATGACTATTAGTTTTTTAAATATTTATTTACTTATTTATTTATTTTAATTTGCTATAGGGCAGTTGTGCTCACTAGAGAGAGACAGAGAATGAGAGAGAGAAAGAGAGGCAGAAAGGGAAAAAGTAAGCCCCCCAGGTCTGGGACTTGAACCACAGTCAACTATGTGGGAGTCCAACGCCCTAACCACTACGCCACCGGCTGACCCCAACTTTGCATTCATTTTTATAAGGTTTTTGCCATAGGGCACATGTGCTCACTGAAGAGACAGAAAGAGACAGTGAACGGGAAAGTGAGAAGTCACCCCCCCCACCACCACCAGGGGGGATGGCCACACCGCAATCCCTTCTCCTCCATTCTCCTCTCAGGAATTTGTACGTATGTACATACATGCCTGGCATGATTTTCAAGCTGCCAGGTTTGGGACTCGAACAACAGCTGGCCATGTGTGAGTTCAGCACCTTAGCCCCCATGCCACCTGGCTGCCCCCTTCTTTGCTATTTTTTAAATTAAAGATACATATATATATATTTTTTTTTCTGTTCAAGAGGATGTGAGCGTGGAGAAAGAAGAGGAGAGGGAGACAGAGGAAATCACCCTTCGATGGACCGTGATGGCGTAGCAGTCTCCCCACCCCCTAACACCACCACTTCTCCTTCCCATCAGGACTTTGGACATGCACACAGTTGCCACAGCCCGGATTCCCTGCTGTGGTGAGCCATGTGGAATCCAGCTCCCCATGCACAGTGCTTAACTGCCACATGATGAGGCCAGCCCCATATGTTACATATACATATTAAATGGTAAGATCTTGCCAAAGGGTGTGTGTGCTCACTGAAAAGAGAACGAGAGAGGGAACCAGCAGTTAGCGTAATGGCTATGTCGCTGGACTCCCACGTAGTCGACCGCGGTTCATGTCCCGGACCCGGTGGCTTAAAACTCACGCTGGGCACGTGTGCGTGTGTGCCCAAGATCCCGAGAGGAGAATGGAGGAGAAGGGATTGCGGCATGACCATCCCCCCTGGGGGGGTGATTTCTCGCTTTCTGTCTCTATGTCTCTCTTTGTCTGGTTAGCACACACTCCCTATAGCGAAAATCTCTCAAAAAAAAAAAAAAAGAGAGCGAGAGAACGAGAGAAAGAAGGAAAGTGAGAAATCAACCCTCAGTGACGATGGCCATGCCACAATCCCTTCTTTGCCATTGTCCTCTCAGGACTTTAGGCACACATACACGTGTGCCCCGCGAGCTATTCCAGCTGCCAGTACTCAGACCACAGAGTTGGCCGTGGGGGATCCAGGCCCTTCATCTCCACGCCATCTGCTGGCCCCTTCCTCTCCATGAGCACCCCTCCGGCCCTCCTCGGGAAACACCATTCCTGGAAGTACAGCAATACCAGGCCCATGCACCGAGTGGACAGAGCAAGCAAGCATCTATTCCACCGCTCTGCTCCGGGAATTGGTGTCCTATGTGTCCCCAGTGAGAGGGTGTGTGAGATCTGAAACTGTTAAGAACAGATGCCGCATTTGATATCAGACAAAAGGCTGAGAAGCGATCGACCCTCGCCTCTTTGCTGTTTCAGAGATTGTTGAGGAAGGGGTGATGGTGTTTCTGAGCCTGACGCTTCTCCCCTGGGCCAGAACGTCAACTTAATAGAAAAGAAACCCAGAGGGGGCCTCGGATTAGGCCAGCAGGAGAGGATGGTGATGCCTCAGCCTGCCCGTGACCTCCAGTGGCGCTGGTGAAGTTGTCACAAAGAAATCCAGGGCAGAAGGCCACACAGGAAGTCCCATCTTTAGCAGCTGATCCGGGAAGCATGGCCAGCCCCAGCCAGAGAAGGCGCCGACATGACTCAGACCGTAGGCTGTGCCTCACTGGCTGCTTTCTCTCTCATTCTCGGCTGCATTTCTTCCCCAGACAGGAAAATCTGGCTTGACCTGCACCGTGGTGTTCAGGACAGTTGGGACTCGGCAGCTGACTGCAGGCCTTCACACTCAAGCCTTGTCCTTGGAGGTGCCGGCTCAGAGCTAGCCCACATGGGACTGCTCATGGACCCGCCCCACCCCACCTGTGGCTAGAGAGAGAGTGCGCTTTCGCTAGCAAACCCCACTGCACTGACATGGCAGCTGATGCAGAACCACTTTCCTATAAACGACTACGATCAGGCCCGTCTGCCCGTGGGTACATTCAGAGGCGAGAAGGGAAAGGGAGCCCAGGCGTGGTAGGACGGGCTGCTGAGATGCTGTACTCCGAGAGCTGGGACCACACAGGAGGCCTAGGTTTGGTTTCCTGTCCAACCTCAAGGCCAGGGGTAATGGCATGGCCCTGGAATCCCAGCGACGTGGGAGGCCAAGGCAGGAAGACAGTGAGCTTGAGGCTGTCTTGGGACATGGTGTAAAAAGAGCCAGACATTGTGGCGTGTACCTGCAGTCCCAGCCAGGAGGCTGAGCCAGGAAGACAGTGACAGGGAGACTGTCTTAAAAAGAAGAAAGAAAAAAAGAAAAAAAAAAAAAGAGAACATCCTGGAGTCGCCAGCCAGTGCTGTGGTGGTTAAGGTGGCTGGATCCCACATGGCCACAGCATAGTTCAAGTCCCAGACCCAGCAGCCTGAAAAACGTGCCAGGCATGTGTGCGTGTGTGCCCAAAATCCCACGAGGAGAAGAGATTATGGGGATGGGGGAGATGGCCATAACCCCAGGAGCTTTCTCACTTTCTCTCTCTCCCTCCCTCTCTCTTCAGAGAGTACACGTGTCCTACAGCAAATCAAAAAGCACCACTGTAGTATTTAAGCCTCTGCAGACAAAAGTTCTGGCTACTAATTTGACATTGCAATGCATAATTTTGTTAATTACATACATAGAGGGGACCAGCAGTTGGCATAATGGCTATGTCGCTGGACTCCCATGTAGTCGACCGTGGTTCGCGTCCCGGTCTCAGTGGCTTTAAACTCACGCCGGGCAGGTGTGCGTGCGTGCCCAAGATTCCGAGAAGAGAATGGAGGAGAAGGGATTGAGGCGTGGCCATGCCCCTTGGTGGGAGAGTTCTCACTTTCTATCTCTTTGTCTCTCTCTGTCTTTCTGGGCGAGCACATGTGCCCTATAGCAAAAACCTCTCAAAAAAAAATTTTTAAAAACAAAACAACAGCAACAACAAAAGAACGGGCTGCAACCAGAGAGCCCTTCTGAGTCTAAGTAATGCTAGTTCCCGGTGTTCTTGGGGACAGAGCAGAGGACGGTGAAATGCTGTTTCCCTCTCATATTGCTAAGACCATCAACTCCGCATCCCTTCCAATGTGTATAAAGCATGCCATCTGCTCTTCGCCCGCTGTTGGTGTCTCAGGTCAGCTAAGTATAGATACTGCATACAGAATGCAAGTGTGGGGCCAGCAGGTGGCATGGTGGTTAAGAACACAGGACTCCCACATGAGCGATAACGGTTTGAGTCCCAGACGTGGCAGCTTGCTTTTTCGCTTTCCCTCTCTCACTCTGTCCCTCTCCGGTCAAATTAAAATATAAATAAATAAAGTTAAATCAAATAATAATTTTTTTTAAAAAGAATGTGAGCATGAACACAAAGGCTGTGGACAAAGTGGAGATAGAAGAGGAAGTAACGACTGATAAGAACTTTTCCGTTTACCTATCTGTCTGACCGATCTTTGTTCACTCTCTGCCCCGTGGAAGCAGCGCAACGTCTTCTGTGCTGTAAGCTGGGAAACGTCGCTGAGTGTACTAGCAGCCATCCGCCCAGTAATGAACCCACATGCTTGGACTTGTGTAGTGGTTACAATGTTTTCTCCAACAACCTGCAAATCAAAGTCAGTGGAGTGCTTCCTGTCTGTTAGGGAATCAGAAAGGAATGTATCAGACAGGAAGATACATTCTGAAACATTTTTTCCCTTAAAAGCTATCAACATCAATCAGTAGTTTTGCAACTGTTTGCTTCTTTTTCTTCTTTAAATTTATGTCTTCCATGAAAGATAGAAAGAGACAGAGAGAGAGAGGCTCCAGAGGGTCCCCAGGCTGCAACTCTCCTCCCACCCCTAATGTCAGCTGGCCGGGATCGTAAGCGGGAGTACGCATGCCCAGTGTGCTCAGGAAGGTCCCAGGAAGCAAACCCAGGACCCCTCCCATAGGATCCACCTGTGTCATTACTCTGCCAGTACCTGACCCCTTTAAATATTATTTTTTAAATGTAAAACAAGTATAGCGCGATGCTGGAAGTTTGTTTTTGTTTTCGTTTTTCTAAGGTTTTTTGCCATAGGGTATGTGTGCTGGCCGGAGAGAGACAGAGAGAGTAAAAGTGAGACGTCACCCCTGGTGGGGGGGGTGGCCGCAATCCCTTATCCTCCGGGGATGTGGGGCACGCATGTGCACGTGGCCGGCATGATTTCTAAGCCACCAGTGCAGACTCGAACCACAGTTATCCATTCGGGAGTCCATCACCTTAACCATCATGCCCCTGCTGGCCCCCCAATTTCTTTTCTTTTTTGAGAATGCATGGAAATAAATACACATACTTCACATTCATACTTGCTGTTGTAAGTTTATGGCATCGTAAATTAAAGACCTCCTAAAGTTTCAGGAAACTGGCAATACGGCATGTGACATATTAGAGGAAAGATCTTATCTGTATGTTACACACAGGGAAAAATATGGCCATACTTTAACAAGTTCTATTCCTTAAGGCTTCGTAGGCAAAGGGTGCTTTCTCATTCATTCTTTCATTCATTCAGACAATAGTTATGGGGACCAGCAGTTGGTGTAATGGCTATGTCGCTGGACTCCCATGTAGTCGACCGCAGTTCAAGTCCCGGATCCGGTGGCTTAAACTCATGTGGGGTGCGTGTGTGTGTGTGTGTGCACAAGATCCCGAGAGGAGAATGGAGGAGAAGGGATTGCGGCGTGACCATCCTCCCTGGGGGAGGAGAAGGGGTGATTTCTCACTTTCTGTCTCTCTGTCTCTCTCTCTTTCTGGCAAGCGCATGCACCCTATAGCAAATAAATAAATAAATAAATAAATAAATAAATAAATAAATAAATAAAACAAAAACAAAAACAAAACCTCTCCAGAAAATACTTATAATTACCTCTCAGCTAAGCAGGGAGGCAGAAAAGGAAGCCAGGTGCAAAGCCCATCAGAAAACTGCTACCACAGAGGCTCACCCAGGGTACTCTGAGAACACAGAGGAGGGACACACCCAGCCTGGAAGGCCCAGGACGAAGATTGTCAAAGGAGGTGACACTGGAGTGGAGTCTTAAAGACCAAAAGAATATACTGGAAAGAAGGGTATTGCAAAGGGAGAAAATATATTTAAAGACATAATTATGGAAGAAACGACCCATCCCTGCGATCTGTTCAAAGTGGTGCAGGACTGGAGAGGTAAAGGGGGTGAGATTATGAGGGACCTTCCAACTTGATGTTTGAACTTCACCTTGAAAGCAGTAGCAGATCAGAGAAGTCGGTTAAACGGGGTCCCCAGGGGTGAACAGAATTCGATTTGTATTTTAGGAAGCTCAGAAAGACTGGAGAGAAGTATTTAAGGTTCTTTTACAGAAACCTTTCTTTTCAAGGCGGAAAGCGTGACTTGAATACAGGAGACCTATTTACGAATGGGTGAATGAGAACGTGTGCATGAGAAAATGCACATTCCTTTTCATGCTCCCAACACTGGGCCTAGCAGTTCTTCAGAGAATGCTCTGGGGAGACCATAAGGAACAGTCGAACAGCAAACTCGTAATGCCCTTTCCTCCCTGTGTAAAGAGAGAAGTTCACCCAGAGAAAGAGCTTGTACACTGATCAACCACCCACCCACACCCTACAATTTCATCAGGAGTATGGTATATCCCTAAAACCAGAAAGAGTATGGTATATCCCTAAAACCGGGAGTCTGGTATATCCCTAAAACCAGAAGGAGTATGGTATATCCCTAAAACCAGAAGGAGTATGGTATATCCCTAAAACCAGAAGGAGTATGGTATATCCCTAAAACCAGAATGAAGTAAGAATTCCAAGGGACGTTTTAGCCTTGGCTGTCAGTGGGACAAGTGTGATGGCTCCCAAATGACCTTACTTTTTGGAGAAAGCAAGGGAGGGAAGTGAGGCAGATTGCCTGCAGGTGAATACCTGGTCTTCGCAGACAGAAGTTTGTTCCTGGAAGAATGGACATTATCGAAGCGTAGCTGAGCAACTAAATGAAGTTATTGGTGTTGCTTAGATTTCCCATCACATTTTCATGTTTATTCCCCTTTAGAAGTGAGTGAAATTTATGTTTTAAATTCTAGATCAACTTGGCTGCAGTAAGAAAACAGAGGAAATTTTTGTTTGTGTTTGGGGGCCAGGTTGCCAGGGATAATAAATTATTCTGGGGACCAAGAGACACTGAGTGAGGATCTGACGTAAATTTCAAGGGGATAAATTTGGTGTTTTGTTTTACTTGGCCACCTGTCTCTCTCAACCTGGAGATTCTTCATATAGGAGATTCTTCAGTCCAGGTCACAAGGTATCATCCAGTTATATCTTACACAGCTTTGTTTTTGTTTTTTTTCTTTCTTTTTTT